GTAGGCGTATTTATGTCCATCCTCTTAAAATTCATCAAGGTAGGCTGACACCTTGTCCAGGAAGCCTTCTCGGGTTCCTGTCTCCTATGACTCTGGCATTTTCCTCCTGGCCCCTCCAAGGACACCTGGACACTGTGTCCTCGGCTGGCAGCTAAGACCCCAGACTTTGGGGTACCTTGGGCTCTTCACCCACCCTAGTGCTAGCTCAGTTCCCTCTCTTAAGTGCTAGCTTGGAATTCAGTACCTGGACTGGGCTGGCCCTGAAATCACAGGATCTAGCCTCTGTAAATAAGATTTTATCTTTGATTATGCGAATGTGCTTTGATTACCTGTCTGAGTGTGCACCCTCCGGAGCTGGAGTTACGGGCGGTTGTGAGACACCTTGTGTGGGTGCTGGGAACTGAACTCAGGTCCTCTGCAAAGGCAGCAAGCACCCTTTAACCATCCAACACTCCGTCTAGCTCCTTCTTGCCTGCATGCCTACCTCTGCGTACTGTGGTAACAGGCGTGAGCCATGGTGCCTCTGTTTTATAGGGTGCTGGGGATTGAACCTAGGCCCTTGTGAATGCGGAAACAAAGGCTCTAACCACTGAGCCACAGCCCGGGGACCACACAGTTCCCAATTCCCTCACTCGCTGTTGAGCATAGGATAGTGCTGTGGGGTAAGAGACAAGCATCCCATGGCATCCTGACAGGAAGAGTGGCTGTCAAAGCATTAGGAAGAGGGGAAGCAGGAGCTGCCTCTGACACCTCTAACCCTGGAAGCAAAGAGTTCTGTTCTGAGATCAAAGGAGAGGTGACCTCTGCTTCTAGTTTTGCCTTTTTATATACACTGGGTGACCTTAGCCATATCACATGACCTCTCTCATCAGCTGACCTAGGTAGTGGGTGACAGCTTCACCCCCTTCTCCTGGCTTTTGTCCTGGTTTTGTAGCATTTTATGTGTGTCAGTTGGCTGGAGCCTCAGTTTTCCTATCAATATGAATGGGACTGCACCCAGGCACGGTAGTTCAGGCCTGCAACCCCGGGCTACTCTGCTGAGGCAGGGAGACCACGTGTTTAACTGTGGGTGGCAGAGTGAGTTCAAGGCCAGCCCTGAGAACTCAGTGAGTCCTAAACAAAATGTAAGAAAAGAGGGTCAGAGTGTAGCTCAGAGATCGAGAGCTTGCCTAGTATGTGTGTGTGGGGGGAACCTAAGTTCAACCCCCGGCCTAAAGCACTGAGGTATTAATTAAAATTCTTGCCTCGCAGGCCTTGGCTGGAGTGTGCGGTAGAGGGCTGGTACATAAGCCGCTCTCAGTGAGTAGTGGCTGGGAGCTCTAATTTGAATCCTGGCGTCTGCATCTTCCTAAGGTGGGGTAGGGGGCACAAGGGGGCAGGGCGGCGGGGTCAGGTGAGCTCCTTCTGCGTTCTCTGTAAAATGGAAGGCCACAGATAAAGGCAGTGCGCTGGAATGCGTGGAATTTTTGGAACCTTCTCGGTAGGAATGTGTGACAGACGGGGGACCTGTTAGGGGTGGTAAGACACTAGCCCAGTTGACCTTGCCAGCACCCCAAACATCAAAGCTTAGTCTGACCCCCGGGGCCGATTCGTCCCAGGCATTGCTAGACTCCTCAACCATCCAACACTGGGGCCCTTTGTTCCTGCCTGGGTGCTGGAGGTGGCAACCATGACCTCTTTCGGATGCCTTCATGTGCCAGGTGTTTCCCGCTGTGAATCCTGGGAGGCTGCTATGTCTCTGGTCAGAGAAGAAGATAAAGCTGGTGAGAGGTCATATGTGTAACTGGGCCGAGGGCTGAGGAGCCGACTCCAATGGGTGAGGGCTTGCGTGAGCATGGGGACCCAGTTCTTCTGCAGGACCTATAGAGAGCAGGCGGCAGCAGGGCACACCCAGAATCCCAGCACTGCAGAGGCAGAGGCAGGAGGGTTTCTGAGTTCGAGGCCAGTCTGGTCTGAGTTTTAGGATATCCTGCCTCTTGACACTGACAATGGGACAGTCCGTTCTGGTTTGTACCTGTTCTCTCGTGGACTCTATTGCCTTTCATGGATTGGCTTCACCTTTGAGCCAAGGCTGAGAACAGCCAGAGCAGGGGTTGGTCCCTGCATGAGGTTGGGTTCTAACAAGGGTGCCCCTGAAAGGATCTGACCCTCGATACACCAGCTAGGTGTTCCCCGGAGACTCTCTTACCAGAGAACTTTGTGAAAGAAATACATCTCACAAGCAAGGTAAATGAGGTTCGAAAGCAGATGACAGCTTTCCTGGGCGTGGGGTTCGGCCATGGCAGCCCTCGGGGATGGAGGCAGGAGGGCTAGGAGTTCAATGTCACTCTGGGTTACACAGTGAGTTTGAGGCCAGCCTGGGCTACATGAGACACTATCTCAAAAAAACAAAACAAGACAACCCACAGCAGGTGGAGAGGCGGTGAACGAAATAAACTAATTAAAGGTAAATTTTAAAAATGCAGTTGGGCGGTGAGCGGGGAAGAGCTGGGGGACACTGGACACTTCCTCATAGGCTGCTAACAACTCAGTGCTCCCTCCTAGTGGTCTGGAGTCATTGTCTAAGTGTGAATTTGCAGAAATCTGCATTCATCCACAGAGCGGAGGGCAATGTGGTCACACCCCAACTCAGGGTGCCCAGGCTAGACCCCATGCTACTACCCACATAGAATCTTCTGGAGGGTGGAGGAGTACACTACCGGCGGGTGGGGGTGGGCAGTGAGCTGACGCTTGGGAGAAGCTCCCTGGGTCGTAGAGGAGCAGAGAGAATGGCCAGTGGGAAACTGGCAAGTGGGGAGAGAAGGGGTCTGCAGTCAAACATCAAGGCTTCCAGAGGATGCGGTGGCTTGGAAGGGCTTGCCACTCACCACCCCTCCCACCCAAAACTCCGGGGGGTGGGGGTGGGGCGGACAGACATGTTCAGGGGGTCTGGGAATTATGGGGCAGGCTCCAGAAAACTCTCAAGTTCCTGGAGAGTCCTCCATGCCCACCTTAGCTGTGGAGTGGGAGGAGTGGGCAGGCAGCAAACCCCGCCCGCCTCAGGATGCAGAAGGGTACACGTTTAGGATTCCAAGAAGGCCGAGGTGAAGGCAAGCAGGGGGAGACAAACTTCTCTCCCCACCTCGGGGCTTCTCGGCTCTCTCCAGTTCTCCCCAGGCACCACCACTGTCTGACTACCTCCAACTCTTCTCTCTCTCTCCCCCTCTCCCTCCCTCCCCCCCCCTCCCTCCCTCCCTCCCCCCCCCCCCCCCCCCCTTGTTTGGGGCAAAGAGAATGACAAGTTTGAACTTGTTCTTCGTCTTCCACATAATTGGTGGCAGCAGGCAAGGCTGCTCCAGAGGGAGGGGTTTACCAGAGGAATGGGGGGAGGAAGGAATCTCAGGAGTGACAGGGCTGGGAGGGACCGCGGAGGGGGTCATCTGACCAACCTTTCTGTGGCCTCCACTCCATTCCCACGACCTGTGTGTTCACCTCCCCCGCGCCATCTCTCTCACCATCATTATACAAGGGGCCTCGAGGATTCCTCTTCCGAGCTTTCCAGGGGCAGCGTCCCCTCTGCATCCTCTGGCCAAGAAACCCATCCTCCTTTTCTAGCCGGGGAAACTGAGGCCAATCGGGATGGGACCGGAAACCGAGAGTGGGAAGTCAAAGCCTCTGTCTGTGTTCATGTTCTTCCTCTTCCATTTAATCCCTGCTAAAGGGCGAGTTAGGAAGGACAGAAGTCCCCGGAGTAGGACAGAACTCACTCACCCCCACCCCAGCAGAAGCGCTGCCAATGTCAAGGGTTTGAGAACTGAGTCATCTTTAGGTAGACCTTGGTCATTGCCCAGTTCTCCTGGGTACCCTGGGATGATTTTTTTTTTTTCCTGCACAAAACTGGCTCTGAAGCAGGCAGGACTCTGAGGCCTGGTACAATTGGCTCGGTGCGATTGAAGGGATAGGGGGAAGGGGGACAGTGCCCAGGCCCCAGGGAACTTGCTCCTTCAGCAGAGTGTATTTTAAACCTATGCTCTGCTGCCGGTGAGGTTAGCACTGGAAGCCGGTTTGGAGAGACTGTACAGAGCCTTTGTGTGCGCCCCCAGATGATCGTGGGTTAGTCTCTGCCGGTGTGCTGACACTAGACAGTGCATTTAGGAGCCACACCGAGAAGGGCGTCTCAGCGGGCTACCTTCAACGCCCACAGAGCCTGCCCTGGAGCCGGGTAGTTTTAGCCGGGACTCTGAGTATGAGGATTGTGTCCAGAGAGTGGGAGTGACTTTAGGGCTAAAGGTTTGGAGGATGTTACTTGGCCCAGAGTCCCAGCCCATCTCTGTTCCGAGGTGCAGCCCTTCCGAGCCTCCCCGACACCTCGCGCCCTCTTTGTCTCCCCGCCGAGGTGCGCGTGCAGACCTTCGCCGCTCGGCCCTCCTGGCGTGCGAGCGCGGGGGGCGCACCCTCGGCTCCCCCGCTCGCTCCCCACGGGGAGAGGGCGGACGAGCCGGAGCCCCGGTGCTGTTTGGTCTGGAGCGGAGCGGGGGCTTGCATTGATCCATTGATTGTGCGCGGTCTGCGCCTGACCTCCCTGCTCCCGGGGAAGCCGTCTCCATGGAGACCGGGCCCGCTCCCCCAGCGCCGGATTGTAAATTCCTGCAGGCAGCGGCCCGGCAGCCTGGGGAGGGGGCCGCGCGCCCGGGCGCGCAGGGGGAGCGGCCGCCACGCCGAGGCCCCCTTTGAAAGAAAAAAAAAAGGGCACGAAAAAGGAGGTGGAGGAGGTGGAGGACGGAGAGGAGAAGCAGGAGGGGCAGTGGGAAGGGGAGGAGGAAGAAAACGAAAAGGAGCAAGGAGAGGAGGAGAAAGAGGAGGAGGAGGAGGAGGAGAAAGGCGAAGAAAAACAGACGGAGCCCGGGAGACGAGAAAGCAAGGGAGGAAGAAAGAGGCAGAAAGGGCGTGTTTAGGCGCTACGTCTCCCCTCCCCTTTCTCAGGTCCCAGCTCGGGCTCTGCGCGCTCGCTCTCGGGCTTCAGCTCCCCGCGGGCGAAGCTGGGCGTCGGGTGCGATAGCCCGGGCCGCCCCTCGGGCCGCCGCCCCGCGCCTGCCCGCGCTCCCCATCGCGCGCTCCCCACGCCCAGCCCGGAGCCTCCGCGGGGCGCCCTCCAGTCCCCTCCCCCTCCGCCTCGCGCCCTCCCCGGGGCTGCGACACCCCCGCGGCCCCGCCGCGCGGAGCTCCAGGCCATGGGCTCGGGGCGCGTCCCCGGGCTCTGCCTGCTCGTCCTGCTGGTCCACGCGCGCGCCGCCCAGCATGGCAAAGCTGCGCAAGGTAAGAGAGGCGCGGTGCGGGGCTGTGGGGTTGCGGGACAGCGGGGCGGCGGGACGGCGGGGCCCCAAGAACCAGGGCAGGTGTCTGGAAGTGCATGGCTGTCAGGACCGGGCCCTGTACCCCCGACTCTTCAGCCAGGGCTGGACCTTCGGGCGCTGCGCGACAGGCAATAGCGCCTGGCGGTGGGGGGGGGGGGTCAGCAGAAGGGAGCATGCACTTCTGCCGGCTTCCCTGCCACCACCTAGCATCTTCCTGCGAGGGCAGAGAGAATCTTCTCTCAAACATCGCCAGGGACTTCACTTTGGAGCTTGAGACTGATGAGGGAAGGAAGTTTTCAACCCTGCCATACACTTTGTAACCTCTCCCCCCTCCCCCCTCCCCGCGTGAGGCAGAGTCAGGCTGAAATTTCGAAGTTGCCGTCTTATCAAAGGATGTTAAAGAAAAACAGGCTCTTTCGCGGTGAAACCGACTGCCTGTCACGGAGTAGTAGGGGGGCAGTAAGAGAAAATGCCTGTGACTGCCTTCTGGCACGAACGTTGCGTTTCTGCCTTTGGAGGGGGGGGGGGGATCCCTTTCGTCTCGCATGGCTTTCATTTCTTATCATAATATTTATTTATTAAGGCCTGGGGTTTCCAATTCCATTTAAATCCAGGTCAGAATTGCATTAAAATAACAAAGTAAAATTCCAGGCTGGGAGCTCTGACAGATCCCTCTAGGAATTAGAGAGAGACTGGGAGGCCCTCCTGCCCCGGTCCCTGACCCCGAACTCCCTGCCCGGCCAGTCCCAAGGCTGCGCAGGCAGAAACCAGGCTGGTGTCCCACAGTTCTCTGGGGACGGCCTCCCCTCCCCCCATTGACCTGCTGTACCCCTCCCCCTACGCTGTCCTCACCCAAAAGAGATTTATATGGACAAAAAGAAAATTCCTCTTAGCAAGATTTTGCCCGGGAGGTAGATTCTGCCTATTGTCCTAGGGGCTCCTGAAACCAGCCAGGGATGAAGAGGAGTCTGGGCCAGGAGGAAAGTTGAACTTGGGAGTTGAGGAAGTCTGAGTTGTCTGGCTGTCAGTTGGGTCAGTGTGTCCAGGGACCTTGAGTCTTCAGTCCGGCTCTGCCACCAACTTTTCACTGTTGGTAGAAGGTGCTAAGCCAACACCTCCCTCCTCTCCCCAAAACACTGCCTCTTCCGACCTGTCCATTAACATAACCAAACACTAGAGACCCTCAGCTGTCAAGTACCAGACCCCACCCCAACTTCCTTCCAGCCCCAAACTGCTGCTTCTGCAGACAGCCCGCTGCTGCTGCTGCTACTGCTGCTGTTGCTGCCTAGAACAGCCCCTCTCCCCACAGTGGATTTGCTTGTGTGTTTTCGTAAACAAAGCTGGCTTTTGTAGTGCATGCTGACTTACTCATAACATGGAATTAGCTAGGGAGTTTAGTCTGAGGAAGGAACAGATTTCGTTCAGTAATCTAGACAAGATAAGGGCCTCTTTCAAGTTGGAGCCAGTGTCTGCAGGGGCTGGGGGGGGAGCAGGAGGAGAAGCAGCCTATTAAAGGGGCTCCAGGTGCAGCTGGAGACCCCTAAATGGGACAGGTGTTGGGGAGCCAAAACTCTCAAGCCTGGAGGCCAGCCCATCTGCTGGGGATAGCAGGAATCTGGGTACTCGAGGACACCTTCTTTTATTGGACGCCCCATTGGGTGCTAGGGGACATTCAGCTGGAGTGGGGGGGGGTTGCCCTCAGGGTTTCTGCTTATCTCAGACATGGGCTACACCTGTCCTGATGAGGTCACAGTAACTGTACCCCCAACCCCCTTTAGGATTTCTGAGTCTAGCTGGGATTAGAATGGAGTCTTTCATTAGCCCTCCCATTCGGGAGATCTGTGAGACCCTGTCCATCAAAGGTTTGCCTAACAACAGGTTTGCTGGGATACAAGGCCTTCCTTGGACTCACAAATTTGCAGGTAGATGTTACAGGAAGCTGAGAACTGTTTGGTCTGAGCCTTGCAGGCTTACCCATAGTGCCGAGGGCTTCAGGAGGCCTCCCGTGCCCCCCTCCACAAACCTCTCATCTATCACCAGGGCTAGGGAGTTTGCCTTTGATGCCAGGAGCTTTTCAGTGGCACTCTAGAGGGTCTGGACATTATAGGCCCCCTCAGCAAGCGTCTTGAAAAGAGCTTCTGCACCTCCTGGAACAACTGTGTCTCTGGGAGGGTCAAAGCCATGCAGTGGGACAGAGGGACACCGAACAAGCTTAAGTGTAAAAGAGGGAGGGAGAGGGACACAGGAGACAGGGACACCAGCACTGGGACAGCCCTGTCCCGCTGCGTCTACAAAGACCTGGTTCTTTAATCAGAAATGCTGAAGATTTTGTCCCAGTGGGCGAGTGGGTGGGTCAGCTGGTGGGACTGGGGAGGGGTGAGCTTGCCGGGTACATGGTTTTGAGTGGTTTTCAAGCGCCTGTCTGTGTGTCTTAAAGTAGACAGACTGGATAACCGAGGTAATTGTAAACTTAAAAGCATTAATTTGCTTTGCTTTTTTGGGGTGGGGGTGGGGTGGCGATGGCAGGACAGCTATCGTTAAAAAGACCTAATCCTCACTTAGGGCTCAGGTTGCAACTAAATGAAAAGGTCTTGGGGCCTCCAGGGGAACTGGTCCTGTCCCCAGGCAGGCTTTGGGACAGCCAGGTTGGCCATCCACTTTACCTGGTAGTTTTCTTTCCTTGTTAGGGATAGAGCTTTGAGAAAGTCACCCGTTTAGAAATCACACCGTCCCCGAGACTGAGGGCGTTCATCTGGCGCTGAACAGTGTCTCTCTGTCTCTGGGTCTCTGTCTGGGAGTATGTGTCTCTCTCTTTTCCCCCACCCCTCTCTTCCTCTTTAATGTGGCTGTTCCCTCTCCCCCCCTGCTTCCCTCGGCTCCTGTGGCCGGCGTCCACAGTGAGGGAACTGTTCCTCCTAGCCCCTCCCTCTAAAATATGAAATGAAAACCGTAACCGTGTCAGCGGGTGCGGGTGGCTCCTCGGGCAGCCACTACTGCTTGTGCCCCCACTGAGGCCCAACTGGAGAGAGCAGACAGACAGACAGACAGACCCCACTCTTAGAGCCTGTTCTGTTTCCTTAAGCTCATCCCAACCCCTTTGACCCCCCTCCGAGCTTGCTGTCTCGTGTCTTAGGTATGGAGAAAGCCCAGAGCTAGGAGGATATAAATTTTGTAACACCCCCCCCCCATCACCTCTAATTTCCCTGAGTCTCTGTGGGGTAGAATGGAGAGAGGGGACTAAAAGATCTGGGAACCACAGCCATGACAGGTAAAGCAAGGAACAGGAACCCTCAGATGAGATTGCTTTCTGGAACCTTCTGGAATCTGAGACCATGAGAACCGGTTTGAACGCGCGTGAGCGGCCAGGGCCTGTTGTAAATGGAGGCAGGCCGGGTGTGAGTTTGGGAAGGTGAGGTGTGCACTACCGGGGAGTGTGAGTGTGCACGTGCCCGACTCTCTGTGTGAGCACAGTGCGTCACTCTCTGGTGACTGGGGGGAGGTCGTGGGGGGGGGGAAGTGGGTAAACGTGTGCGTTTTGTTTTAGTTGGAGGAGAGGGCTCGATCCAGAGCCTTGAACTGGGGGGTGGGGGAGGGGAGTGCATGGTTTCACATCCTCAGGAGAAGACGGAGGTGGAGGAGCCTGCTGCCAGAACCCACCCTGGTCTCTGCCGCCACGGCCGGCCGGCTTCGGGTGTGCGGGTGTGGGCACATGACCACTCAGTAAGAAAGAGTTCCTGTCAGGGCTGGAAACTGCGGAGCCGCTCTGAGGCAGGCTGGCAGTGCTTACGGGAGGCCCAGACCTGGGGAGACAGCAGTCTGGGGAGGAGTAGATTGCTGGGGCTTAGGGAGAGGTGGAAACGGCCCCGGAGGATGTTTGGAGGAAATGAATGGGCTACTCACCTGGGCAAAGACGGGACATTGCCTTTCTGTCTGTAGACTGACTGGCCACTCTCCTCCCCACCAGCCTGCACTCTGGCCTGACTCAGGAGACACTGGGTGGGCAGGAGATAGTGGGGTGAGTTTTGTCAAACACTGAGCCTGATGACTGGGAGCTCTGGGGTTCGGCCAGTTTTACTGAACTCATTCATATTGGTAAGCTTTGGTCCTGAGGCCAGGCCCTCTCCACCTGGACCTCTCCTCTGCCTGCTGAAGGCCTGGTCACTTGGTATTTTTCCTTTCTCCGCCCCCCCCCCCCGACATCGGTTTCCCAAGCCTTTGACAATCCAGTGTCCGGTGAGCAGCTAGCTATCCTAGAAGTGCATGTGTGTGTTTCTGTGTCCCACCCTGTGGTGGCCATGAATGATCTGTCTCCTCCCAGCCACACCCCACCCCCACAAGTTCTTCTCTCTTCAGATCAAGGGCTTGCTTTGGAGCTGGATCTGCAGCTGGCTTTCAGAAGTGGGTCGATGACCCCCTGAACAGGGCACTAGGGGCCTTGGTTTGCCAATGGTTTCCCCCTGTGATGAACCATAGCCCCCAGAGAGCTGCAGGCTTTGAATTTTAGAGCTTGTCCTGGGGCTGTCTGCTTGTGGTTACTGACAGGAGCAAACCGAGCAAAGTGAGTTGCTGGTCCATAGGAGATGCAGGATAAGAAGAAACCCAGCCTAAGAGATCCCTGGGTGACGTACAACGTCAGACTATGTGGGCTCTGGGGCGGGGTGGGGTATGTGGAAGGATGAAATTCTTAAAGGGTAGGTCCTGGGGGGGCAGGTTTACAGAGAGGACTTTTTTTTTTTTTTTACAAGTTTCTAATTATATTTATTTGGAGTTTTCCTCTGGCGGTTTGAAGCTGTTAACAGCAGGAACCTGTATCCCCTGGTGTTTGTTTTTGTTTCTGACCAGCTGCTTGGCCCCAGAGTAGTGAATCCCACGGCTGGCGACACCTGCCCACCACTGCACCCGCCCACCCTCTTCTCCTTGCCTGTGTGTCTGTCTGCCCGCTCCCTGTCTACCCTGGTTCCCTCTGCGTCCCAGCATCTGTATGATGGCTTTTAGCCACCAGCCAGACTCTGTTCCGGTTGCCTACTTCAAGCAGAACAAAGTATTGAGCTGAGGGCAGGGGAGGCGAGATCTCTGTCTATCATGTGCTTTTAGAAGACTTTCAAGGGGTGGGTTTTCACTGGCTATTGGTTCTTTCCCAGGATAACCCCACTAGGTGCCTCTCCGTCCACTTAATAAGCCATGCCTGCTGCTGCCCAAGAGGGCAACAGAGGAGCCCGTGATCCCTCCACCCACCGCCTGCAGTCTCTTCCTGCCCTGGATTCATCAGGCTCCCAGCCCGCTGTCTTTGTGCTTTCTTAAATCTGTGTGTATGTGCGGGCGGGCACACTGCTGCACACACTGCTGCACACACATGGAGGTCACAGGACAGCCTCAGGGGTCAGCTTTCACCTTCCACCTGGTTTTCGACAGTGTCTGTCTTGTTCACTAATCTGTAAGTGAGGCAAGCTGCCTCGCAGTCTGGGGACTCTCCTGCCTCTGCCTCCCATTCTGGTGTAGGAGCACACGGGCTGAATCTAGCTTTACCTGAGTTCTGGGGAATCCAAGCTTGGGTTCTTGTGGTCGCGTGGTGCTTTACCCAGTGAGCTCCTTACTCCTCAGCATAAACTCACTAGGACACCCCTGTTCCCAGAATGTTAAATGGTCAATGGAGAGTAAAGAGGAGGGCTTCTTCCCCGGGGTATACCCCAGGTAACGGTCTTGGCCACCATCTGTTGAATAGAAACCCAGAGAGCACCTTCACTACATGGTTATTCTGTTCCATTCACAGCCGAGCCTACAGTCCCGGCACAGTGCTCGCCCTTACCCTGGTGCAGGTACCTAGGAGCTGTTTGCTAAGTGCTCAAGTGTGCATGGCTCTGCCGGCAGTTACCGTGGGTTCGAAGATCCAGAAGCCATGGCCTCGAGGAATTCTTGGCACCGAGCAAACATGAAGCAAGCATCCAAGAGGATGCTGGAGGGAGGAGAGCCATGGCAAGCTTGTAGTAAGCACTCGCTGAGTCACTGTGGCACTCGGTGCTTGGTGGACATTAACTCATTTGATGCTGGTAATAGTTCCCAGGATGGTCCTGTGACAGGTTTTCAGGGGAGGAGGCGGGTGTGTCCAGAGACAGGCTCAAGGCCACTCAAAAGCAGGGCTAAGCCTGCACTGGGACTGGTGTGGTGGCCATCAGTCTAAAACCTCTTAGTGTGTCATGTTGCTGCCTCCGGAGTATCTCCCAGCGCAGGCAAAATGAGTTGGGAAAGAGAGAGATCACCAGGCTTACCCTAGAGGTCCTGATTTCCTGGGTCCAGACATCCATGGGTCTTCAGAGGTCCCCAGATTCCAGTGTGCAACCTGAACTGAGAACAACCAGCCTAAACCAACCCACACCCAAAAGTGTCACTTGGCTTGCAGCTGGTAAACAGCTTCTGAGAGGATGGGTAAGCTGAGGTTGCCTGTGTGTGCCACAGAGGTCCCTTCCAGGACTCATTCTGGGCTGCCATGTGTGCTGGGAGGAAGCTTTGAAGACCTGGTAGAGGTGGAGGTGTTGGATGAGATTTAGGGCCCTGTCTCCCTGCTCTGTGCCTTCAGCCACACACTTGGAAGGTCCCTTCCTCAGCAGTCACCCAGCCATGGGAGAAGTGGAACCTGTTACATAAGACAGCTTCAGAGTATTAGCTAAGTGGCTCAGCGGGGACCACAAAGAGGGGCACAAAGCGGGGCTCCCCCTGGGCTGGGAGCTTACTGGGGACAGGGTAGACAATTCTAAGCTAGTCTTGGAAAACAGAAGTGGGTGGGTCTGCAGCATGGATGAGAAGAAGGTGATATGTGGGATGTAGTGGACTGGTTAGGTGGTGCTGAGGGAGTAACTGGTGCCGAGGGAGTAGCTGGGGCCAAGAGGGTAGCTGGGGCTGAGGGACTAGCTGGGGCTGAGGGAACAGAGCAGAAAAACATTGAGAGCAGGGAGAGGGCTGAGGCTAAGAAGAGCCTGAGGCAGCCGTCAGGCTGTGGTTGGCCTCACCACTGCTCTGGTCCTGGGGGCCACTTGAGGGGAGACAAAGGGAAGAGCCTGATGCATCAAGAGCCGAGCCCCCAGCACGTGGAGACAGGCGCTGCTGAGATGGTTTCGGAGAGGGACCTTCTGGAGGAGTCTCTATAATTCTGGGCCAGACCCAGAAGTGTTCCTTATTCAGAACCCCTAGAGCTAGCTCTTCTCTTTCTGTGAAGTCTATGCCGTTGGGACATTTCCTATTGCATGCCCCCCCCCCCAGGGATATTTGGCCTAAGGCTACTGGGACTGAAGAGCTGTCCTTGAAAAGGGCCACACGTGGCTCGTGGCTACCACCACAGTAGACAGAAAGGACTTAGATTCCCCCCAGTGCTCAACCCTCAGCTTCAGCCACTCAAGCTCTTTCCCGTGTACTTCCTCAAGCAGTTCACACAGAATAACAAGTGAAGGGCCTCTTCTGGGGAGGTGCCACCATCCCACTGTATGGTGGCACGCACCTGCCATCCCAACTCTAGGGTGGCTGGAGCAGGGGGATCACGAGTCAGCCTGTGCTACATAGTAAAACTTTCTTATAAAAAGAAAACTTAAAAAAAAAAAAGAGCTTCCCCAGAAAAATGGTAGAGCTGGATCTTAACCTGGGGCTGTCTCCATGGGCGACCTAACTGAGACCCGACATTTCTTGCTTCTGATTCCGTTCCATCCGTTGGTCAAACATTCCCCAACAGCCTCTCACCATCCACAAGGCCTGACTAAGGAACTTGACTACCAGGCCTCTCTCATCTCAGACTTCTCTCTTCCTTGGTGACCGCCTGGCAGGGACACAACTGCTGAGCATGGCTGGGGTGGGCAGTAAGGGTAGACACTCTCCTAATATTCAGAGCTGTATCTACGAACCAATGGCAGAAATTGCCAGTGTGTGGCGCACTTCTCTGATCAGTGGCTGTGCGGGAAGGAGCTGGATTCTGTGGCGAGGCCTGAGAATCTACATTGTAACAAACCCGGCTTTGCAGCTCAGAAGTCACACGGACCTCGCTCCTGGGCTTCCTTCACTGGCCGACTTTAACCCATACACTCTGTTTTTCCAGTTCGTAGGGAGGCATGGGCTCTTCCTCCGCAGACTGTCGAGCCCGGCTGCTCATTAGAATCAGATGTGTTGGGTCCAGTCTTCGGGGCCTTGGGCATTTTTAGGGGAGTTGGCTCTGCTGTGCAGGCTGGGTTGAGGCTCATCCCTAATGCCTCATGGCACCTGCCAGTGTCAGCTTTCTGTCATTTATCCTGGCTGGGTTGTCACCTGTGTGGTTCTGAATGTGATGACCGCCACACAGGACCTCTGTTCTGCTGAGCGAGACCTTGTCTTTGTTACTTCTTTATGGGTGCTGTCATGTCCCCAGCTGCCTAAGGTCTATTTTTCACTTTTTGTCTTCCCCCGTGAGACAAGGTTTCTTTTTCTTTCTTTCTTTTTTTTTTGTTTTTTTTTTTTTTTTTTTTTTTTTTTTTTTTTTTTTTTTTTTTGTTTGTTTTTGTTTTTTTTTTTTTGTTTTTCGAGACAGGGTTTCTCTGTGTAGTTCTGGCTGTCCTGGAACTCACTCTATAGGCCAGGCTGGCCTCGAAGTCAGAAATCCTCCTGCCTTTGTCTCCCAAGTGGTGGGTCACTATGCCTGGACTACCAGAGGTTCTTAACCTCCTTCCCAGCCACCCCCTTCCCCCTCTGGAGTAGCTTCTTCCTTTAGTGTGATTCCATCTGTCATACCTACTAGAGAGAGCGCTTAGTGTTGGCCCAGAAGTATCCAGAACGCGAGGGCATAGAGGAGGAGAGGGGCGGGGGCTCTGCCTGGTCAGAGAGATGGCTCAGAGAACTGCACCTACCAGGCCCACGCTTGCCTGCTCCTGGTCCTTTGGTTGATAGCTCAGGGCCAAGAGAAATCTCTCCAAATGGAGCTCTGTTCCTTCAAAGCTCCTTGGTGCTGTGGTGAACAAGGCCATGGTGAACCATCAGGAGGAGGCTAGCTTCATCTTTTTCTGGGTTTCGAGACAGGGTCTCACTAACCTAGAACTCCTGACCCTCCTGCCTCGGTCTCCGGGTTCAATGGAATTCCTGAAGCGTTCAGAGGAAGGCCAGGGGACCTCAGGTGTACACAGCCATATGGGGACACTGCCTTTGGGGGACACACCTTCAAAACTCACTTGACACCAGTTCTGTTCTTATGCGTTCTTGGGTGCACGGCTGTTCCCGAGTGCCGGGATCTCAGCTGTGCAGCGCTGTGCTGGGCAGGACTGGTGTGTTCTATAGTGGACCGTGAGGCAGATGAGAGTCCCAGACAGGCCCCATCTCCCTTCTTCTTTAATTACTAGAGAGCAGCTGGGCAGGGTGGTGCATGCCCGTAGTCTCAGCATTTGGGAGATGGAGGCAGGGGAAGCATGCATTGAAGATTGCCCTCAGCTATGGGATGAATTCTAGGCCAACTTGGACTGTATGTGTCCTGGTCTAGAGAAACATTATCAGTGGTCACTGGGTCATCATCAGTGACTCTGTGCCTGTCTTGTTCCCTCCAAGTCTGCTGCTAAGAAAGATAAACTAGTCCTCACTGGGCTGACTGTGTCTGACACTTCACGTGTGCTATTCAAACTGAAAAGGGGCGGCGTTTCGGAGAGTAGTGGAGCTGTCACCATGGCTTGAGTATTTCTGAGGCAGTACGGGTCTGTTTGAATTCCTAAAGTGTTCAGAGGAAGGTGTGCACAGGCATACGGGGACTCTGCCTCTGGGGAACGCACCTTCAAAAACTCACTCGAGAGACGCCGGTTCTGTTCTTACGTGTCCTCCTCTGCCTGCCAGATGTAGACGAGTGTGTGGAAGGCACGGACCACTGCCACATCGATGCCATCTGCCAGAACACCCCGAGGTCGTACAAGTGTATCTGCAAGTCCGGCTACACGGGGGACGGCAAACACTGCAAAGGTAAGGCAGGGAGGGGCCCCAAGGGGAGCCTGTAGGAAAGTGGGAACTATTCTGTTGCGGGGGGGGGGGGCGCGCGGCTGCAGCACAGGTCCCAGAGGCCTGCAGTCTCTACGGACCAAGGACGGTGGCCACATCTTCCTAGAGAGAACACAGTGTTGCAGTGGGCACCAGAACACATCACACAGGTGACGTGCTGGTGGGGACACTTCATAGCCCTGTAGCCACATAGCTGTCTGGGGCCAGCACACCTTCCTCAGTTGCAAAACTAAGGCTTGAAGGTCCCCGAGACAGGAGCCTCTACTTAGCACCTGTCATATCACATGCAGAGGACAGGATCAGTGAACCCAGTGGGAATTCACCCACAAACAAGCACGTCTTTTGCTGTCAGAACACGGCAGAGCGGCCTAGGAATAGCATTCTCAGTGTGTGACCCTGAGTGCAATTGAGGTTTCAGTGGACAAAGTGCATGATATTTTCTGTTGACATGATACACTGAGAACTACAGTCCCTCCTGGGACCTGAGGGATAGGGGGGTGGGGGTGAGGCTGGTTCAAGGATGACACTCTATCTCAGCAATACCACAATTAAAGAAGGTTCCAGAACTTTATATGAATGGTGTAACCAAAAATACAAAAGTAATAATGGCATAGCTGTTAGCATGGGACCATCAACACCCTCCAGTGTACTCTCTCTCTTCCCCCCCCTCCCCGCAGACGTGGACGAGTGTGAACGAGAGGACAACGCAGGCTGTGTGCACGACTGTGTCAACATCCCTGGTAATTACCGGTGTACCTGCTACGACGGATTCCACCTGGCACACGACGGACACAACTGTCTGGGTGAGCGAGCGAGGGCTGGCCGGGGTTTGGTGGGGAAGGAGCTGTTTTCAGCATGTCTTGGGCAAGCGGGAAGAAAAATGACCAAAAAGAGCTCCATTCTCTCCAGAGAGCAAGGAGAGCCTCCCCTTTGAGGCTGGCCAGTGAGGGTGACCCAGCCCGGCTGCTGGCTGAGGAGCATGGGAGTGGGGTGGGGCACTGGTAGAAGTGTACGTGCGTGCGTGTGCACGCGTGTGTGCATGCTTGTGTACGCTGGTTTTAGCGCCGTGTGTGGGGAGGATGACCTAGCTTCAGACACATCTGATTCTGCTACTGAGAACCTGTGGGGCGTTGACTAGTGAACTAGCCTCTCGGAATCTCAGATTCCTCATCCCTAAACTGCACGGGGTGGGGGGCAGGTGTTAGGACTCATCTAAAGTCCCAAAGTGTGGGCGCCTCAGGAGCACGTGTGTACAAAACCCTGTGCGGCTTTAGCACAGAGCAGGTGCTGAGGCAGGAGCACTGTTGCTAATGCAGCTAGCAGTGCTCCCTGAGCCCTGAACGCCCCTGTCCCTTGCCTCCCTTCAGTCCCACCCCCTCCAGTTCGGAGCCTCAGTCTGGAGGTAGAATCCCTGGGCCGCTGAACTTCAGCCAGTCATCTTTTGAGTTACTGAGACCATGTCAGAGTTTCCCCCTAAGCAGAAAACCTGAAGCTAACAGGATTTGAGATTTGAGACTGGGTCCTCTCTCCAGCGACTGATAGATGAGTCAGCAAAGGAAAGGGCGGCGATGACAGGAACGTGATTGGTTGGATGCACCGTGGCCTAGGAGCCCCCTTAATGCACAGCTGCACGTGTCCACCACAGCCACCGTCTACCTGGGTCTCTGGCAGGCCCTTCCCGGGGGGCTGCCTCCCCTCGCTCCTCCGCTACTACGGAAGAGCCGAGCCCGTCTCTGCCCTGTCACCCAAGGGACTATTTAGGGACTGAAGTACTGTGTACGGGATAGGGGTGCCCATGGGACTGTGGATACCATCTCTAGTTCTTTGACCTTCATTGGGTCCTAACCCCAACTATCACCAAGAGCTAGACAAGAGGAAGAGCTGGTACTGTCAGAGTTACGAAAGTCTGTTTCGGTGAGGGTTCGTAGCCTCAGCCATCCCCCTAACCCTTGAGAAAACTCCAAGAAAATGTATGGACCTCAGTTTCCCAGGGAAAAGTGGAGGATGGGAGGGAAGCGGCCAGGATAAAGATGGAGTCCAGATGTAGAAATGAGACTCCCGGGGTGACTTTGGCTCTCGTGGTGGTGACTTCGGGGCACCCTATTGTTCCCCCTCTACCATCCAGGGTGTGGCCTGGCCACCTTCCCCCGCCCTTCCACGCCACATTGCCAGGCTTTGTTTTGTTAAACCAAAATAGGAGAACGGCTAGGGAATATGGCAGTGAGCCCAGGCCTGGGGGAAGCTGTGGCCAGTTCTTGCCCCAGGAGGACCATTCCCTCCATCTTTGGCACCTCGGCCATAGTGCTATCCGGGGAAAGAGACATTTCCAGGTTCCCTGATTACTGGCTGCTCATCAGAGCTAGTGTGACTGGTGTGACTAGTACCCACCCTTGTCTTCACCGCGATTCCTCCACTCGGGCTTCTCTCCTGACCTCTGCGCTCAGGCACAGGGTTTGTGTGTGTATAGGCGTTTGCACGCTTGTGTGTGTCTGTGCCCCACACGTGTGCCTGTGGAGGCCAGATGATGACACCGGGTTCCTTGGAACTGGAGTTTCAGGCAGTTAGCTTCCATGTGGGCCCTGGGAATAGAACACAGGTCTGAGGGGTCAGACCCTGGCTCTACAGTGTGGGAGAGGAGGCCAGTCCTCATCTCGGCGGTCAGGTTTGGATGTTATCCACCCTACCTGAGCTCTGGACAAAGGTGCTTCTTTACTCTCAGGGAAGTTTTAGCTGACAAGGGGTAAAGAGTGCTTGCTAAGGGTGTGTGCGTGTGCGTGCGCGCACGCGTGGATTCTTCAGTCTGCCCTCAGTCTATGCTGCTGCTGCCACAGTGCCACCAACCCCTCCATCTTCACAGACGTAGACGAGTGTGCGGAGGGCAACGGTGGCTGCCAGCAGAGTTGTGTCAACATGATGGGGAGCTACGAATGCCACTGCCGAGAGGGCTTCTTCCTCAGCGACAACCAGCACACCTGTATCCAGCGGCCGGAAGGTCAGCCCGCGGCCTCCAAGGGCCCCAGGCTTCTCTTCCCAGTTCCCCCTCCGCACTCCCTGTCCCACAGGCTAGACTCCTCTCTATCCTTTCCTTACTCACAGCCTAAGGGCTCCGTGCTTAGACACCGTATTAGGGACAGATCTAGGGGGCGGAACCGGGACCTGCCCAGGGTAGAATTGAAGCTACTCTGGGGCGTTCTCTGGTCCAGCGGCAAGATGATGTGAACTCCTGTCCGTGAGCCTTGGTCTGTAAGCTGCTGCTTCTCTGGGACAGCCTCGCCTGCATCCCCTTCCGTAGCCTGGATCAACGGCTTGTTCCATCATTGGACCATGATATTCTGAGAGCAGCAGCTCGGTCCAGTTTGCCTTTGTGTCCCTGCCTGTGGGAGGAGCTTAGTGAAAGTCGTGGCCTCGCCAGGTGTGGTGGTTCACACCTTTACTCCCAGCACAGGGGAGGCAGAGGCAGGTGGATCTCTCTTGAGTTCAAGGCCAGTCTGGTCTAGAGAGTGAGTTCCAGGACATTCAGGGCTGCACAGAGAAAAACCAACCCTGTCTCAGTCTGATGGCTGTTTCTTCAGGTTTCTAGTCTCAGTGTAAGCTCTCTGGGGGGAAGAGGTCCTGTTTTAGTTTTTCTGGGTCCCTCCTAGATCCTGAGAGCATCTGAGTAGCAGGCTCAGCTGACCCTTAGCGTCCATAGCCACAACTGGTTCCACCCCGTTGATGCCTCAGCCTCTCTTCCTCCCTTTTTAGAAGGAATGAACTGCATGAACAAAAACCACGGCTGTGCTCACATTTGCCGGGAGACCCCCAAGGGGGGCATTGCCTGTGAGTGCCGCCCTGGCTTCGAGCTCACCAAGAACCAGCGGGACTGTAAATGTAAGACACGGAGGGCAGGGGGGTGGGGGGTGGGGGCAGGAGGATGTGGGGCCTCAGTAGCCAGAGGGCAGGGAGGAGGGAAGAGGACTGGGGGAGGTGGGCGGCCCCGCCTTGCAGACCTGCTGCACAAGGGACAAGCAGGCTGACTTGTCTCCTCCCTCCGTGCAGTGACCTGCAACTATGGTAACGGCGGCTGCCAGCACACGTGTGATGACACGGAGCAGGGTCCCCGGTGCGGCTGCCACGTCAAGTTTGTGCTCCATACCGACGGAAAGACGTGCATTGGTGGGTGAGGCCAGGGAACAACTCAAGCCACTTGTGACAGGGTTGGGGTGGGGGCTGGGGACTGCAGGGGAATTGAGACCCCCCGGGGGGGTTCTAGATGCTGGATAGTGTTACTGATGTGGGAATGGAAACCAGTAAGAGGACAGGTTGAAGGACCACTCTGAGAGACTAAGGGACACACCTGACTGTCTGCCCTCCCCGGGGTCTCAGCCTCCTCTTCCTCCCACACGGAAGCATCGCTAGATTGGGAGCCGTTAGCAGAGGTGCTGGTCAACCAAGGCTGAGGGATAACTTGAGGAATTCTGCGACGGTCATCTGAGCAGTTGACCCAGGCTCTGGTTGACTAGCGTGGTGAGGGGGGAATTACCACGGCCAGTGTCCACTGTGGAGCTGGTGCCAGGACACGGTACTTGTTTCCAGAGCAGGTAGTGTGTTGGGCTGAATAAGTAGGGTGGCTCCAGTCCCCCCACCCTTCCTTTTTACCCCAGCAAACCCTCTTCCTACTCCTCACCTGATGCCCCAGGCCCGCCTCCCACCCAGCATCCAGTGGTCCTGGCTCTCCGCTGTGCCTGTGGCTGCCCACGCCCCTTACTTGCTGTAGCCTTCCCTCCCTCTAAGCCTGACACCCTTCCCCTGAGTTCCTAGGCCTGACCTGAGTCTCCAGGTCCCCTGAACGAGCTAAGTCCTTAAACGTTGAATTCCTTCTGTTGCTATTTCTTCGGTGGTGAGAGGGGGCTGATGAGGTGTCTCCTTAGAGCCCTGGGAAATGGAAGGAAGGGTTCTGGCTCGGTGTGTGGCAGGGTCAGTCCCGCGGTGCTTGCTCTGTGGTACTGGTGTCTGTGGAGGCGTGTGTCTGTCGAGCCACGCAGGCTGAGGAAGGAAAGGTGGGCAGAGCGGCTCTGTGAGGCCCCGCGTGTCCAAGGCAAAGTCAGGTTAAGACCTGATCCGTCCCTCGTCCCCTTCACTGCAGCCACAAGACAGGGGGGCAGATGGGCTCCAGGGACACACATGGCTTCTCAAGGCTGCTGAAGTCTAAGCTCTCTTGTGCTGCTCTCTGACTCTTCAAAGACCCCAAAACAGGCAGAGGCCTTCGTGTTGCCTTCTCTGACTGCTGTCCCAGCACCTTTCTTGTTCTCCTGACAGGGCTAGCTCTGCTTTGCAAACCTCCCACCACCCCTTGGACACACCCACACAGCCCCAGATTCTTCCAGAAGAAACTGCATGTGGTCCCTAGGGAGAAGATGCATGAGGCAGGACAGAGACCCCGTGGGGAACGAGGCATGGTTCCCTTGGGTCTCCGTTCCAGTGTTCTCAAACATGGCTGCTTTTTGAAAATGCCCGTATCAAGCTTGACCTCTCTAACCCAAGACCCACTGAGTCCTCTGGGCAGAGCAAGTGAGGCTGCTTCCTCTCCATCCTTCTCTAATTGCCCCCAGGGAAATAAGCCTACTTGCCTTGGACTTCATTTTTCTTGGCAGGAGGAAATGCCACTGGGGTTGTGGGACATGCAGCTTGAGTGGGGAGACGGAGTGTCGTTAAAACAGAAAGGATGTGAGAGGTGACGAGAGGCGAAACTCGCCATCTCGTGCCAGCTTTGCCTGCCATGCTTCGTGGGGCTGGACCCACAGCTGCTCTCTCGGAGACCCAGCGTCTCTGGGTCATGGTCCCTTGATTTCCCTGAGGGTACCAGGCAGGACAAGGCTGAGGAGTGAGCTAATTTGGAATCTCTGAGATCACTACATGGGGCTAGTGGTTTGGAGCGTCAGGGTGGAGGGCGCGGGGTGGACCCCGCCCCGAATCTAAACGGCTCTTTTACAATGTCAAACAGGGGAAAGGCGGCTAGAGCAGCACGGGCCCACTCAGGCCGTTTCTAATGGTAAATATGTCTGCTCTGCGCTTGCACTCACCGGCTTGCTAGGGAAGGGCTAACCCGCTGGGGCTCCCACTAACCGCATGCCCAGCAGGGCTCCCCTGGCAGTGTGGGCTCTGGACACATCAGGTGGGTCAAGGAACCTTCGTGCTGGTCATCTTCCTGGTCCCTGGTTCTCCTTCCTCGTGTGCCTCCTCCTCTGCCTCTCATTGCCCCAGTGCCTCCCAACTATCTGCACCCCTCGGTGCCTGCAGCCAGTGCCATCTTGCTCAGGTTCCAGTGTACCATTGAGATAAGGTGTATCCCAGTTGGAGGCCATGCTCTCTCTGGTTACCCTTCTTGGGTTCCTTCCGTTAGTATGACACCGGCATCAGCTGGTGATTTCTGCCTGGCTCTGGGCTCAGTAGACCTTAGTCTGGATCCTGGCTCTGCCATGTCCTCACCAGCCAGTCTCAAGTGAGCTCCCTTCTTCTCTGACCCTCTCTGCCCATTACTCTTCAGGAGGGGAGTGACAGTCTTTCTTCTCTCGGGTGTGATAATGAAAACAGCATTAGCACGTGGCCTGGCACAAAGGACAGGGTGAGCTGTGTCCCTGCGCTCAGCCACTGTCCTGCAGAGCTGGGCAGCTCTGCCTGGCTTCTTGGTCCAGCCTGAGATGAATACCATGCCAGTTCTGTTTGCACCCATCCTGGATGCTTCAGAGGATCTACACATAGCATCTTGTCCCTTGCTGTGCTAAACCAGGACTTGGGAGCCCTCTTTCCATACTTAGAGCACTTTTGGGAGACTCTGGACTTGAGCTCCTTGTGGTGTGGGAGACCTCAGGGAGACCACAACGAGGGCAGGCCAAGGACTGCCAGGCAGAGGTGGGCTTCTTTTGGAGCCCTGGCACACTGTCTGCTTTGGGGACAAGGGTGGGCCTGACAGCCCCTTCTCTCTTGTCACATGGTGGCCTTAGGATGCCAATAGGAGAAGGCTTGATGCCTGAGACAAGCCGTGGCACTCAGGTCCCCGTGCCAGGGTCTTGCTCTCCTGGGGCTGATGGCTTCCCCTGAACTCACTCTCCAAGGCAACTGTCTGCTCTCCTCCTGCTCTGGCCTCAGCAGACTGAGCTGGCAAGTGAGACTTAGCTGAACAAGGCTCCGAGCTTTCTCTTCTATGTCTTCCCCACACACACACACCTCTCCCTGTCTGTCTGTCTCTCTCTCTCTCTCTCTCTCTCTCTCTCTCTCTCTCTCTCTCTCT